AGCGAAATAAGTCAATCAGAGAAAGACATGTATCATATGACCTCACTGAAATGAGGAATTCTTAATCTCAGGAAACAAACCGAGGGTTGCTGGAGTGGTGGGGGGTGGGAGGGATGGGGTGGCTGGGTGATAGACATTGGGGAGGGTATGTGCTATGGTGAGCACTCTGAATTGTGCAAGACTGTTGAATCACAGATCTGTACCTCTGAAACAAATAATACATTATATGTTAAAAAAAAGAAGAAGAAGATAGCAGGAGGGGAAGAATGAAGGGGGTAAATCGGAGGGGGAGACGTACCATGAGAGACTATGGACTCTGAAAAACAAACTGAGGGTTCTAGAGGGGAGGGGGATGGGAGGATGGGTTAGCCTGGTGATGGGTATTAAAGAGGGCACGTTCTGCATGGAGCACTGGGTGTTATATGCAAACAATGAATCAGGGAACACTACATCAAAAACTAATGATGTAATGTATGGGGATTAACATAATAAAAAAAAAAAAGAAAGAAAACGACCCAAATAAATAAAATCACAAATGTAGAGAAATAGCAACCAATACCACAGAAACACAATTATAAGAGAATATTATGAAAATCTATATGCCACCAAATTGGACAACTTGGAAGAAATGGGTAAATTCCTAGAAACATATAAACACCCAAAACTGAAACAGGAAGAAATAGAAAACTTGAACAGATCAATAACCAGCAAAGAAACTGAGTCAGTAATCAAAAAATCACTCAACAAACAAAAATCCAGGGCCAGATGGCTTTACAGGCAAATTTTACCAAACATTTAAAGAAGAGTTAATACCTATTCTCAAACTATTCCAAAACATAGAAAAGGAAGGAAAACTTCCAAATTCATTCTATGAGGCCAGCATTACCCTGATACCAAAACCAGGTAAAGACTCCATCAAAAAAAGGAAACTATAGGCCAATATACCTAATGAATCTGAATGCCAAAATTCTCAATAAAATACGAGCAAACTGAATCCAACAGTACATTAAAAGAACCATTCACCACGATTGAGTGGGATTTATTCCTGGGTTGCAAGGGTGGTTCAATATTCTCAAATCAATCAACATGATACATCACATTCATAAAAGAAAGGACAAGAACCGTATGATCCTTTCAGTAGATGCAGAAAAGGCACCTGACAAGGTACAACATCCATTCATGATAAAAACCCTCAACAAAGTAAGGTAAGAGGGAACATACCTCAACATAATAAAGGCCATATACAAAATTCCCACAGCTAATATCATCTTCAATAGGGACAGTTTTTCCTCTATGGTCAGGAACAAGACAAGGATGTCCACTCTCACCACTATTATTTAACATAGTATTGGAAGTTCTAGCTATAGCAAACAGACAGGAAAAGAAATAAAAGGCATCCAAATGGGCAAGAAAGAAGTAGAATTTTCACTATTTGCAGATGACATGACTCTACACAGAAAACCCAAAAGACTCCCATCAAAAAAATTGCTAGAACTGATACATGAATTCAATAAGGATACAAAATCAACATACAGAATTCGGTTGCATATCTATACATCAATAATGAAGCAGCAGAAAGAAAAACCAAGGAATCAATCCCATTTACAACTGCACCAAAAACCGTAAGATATCTCGGACTAAATCCAACCGAAGAGGTGAAAGACCTATACTCTGAAAATTGTAGAATACTGATGAAAGAAACTGAAAATGACACAAAGAAATGGAAAGACATCCCATGCTCATGGATTGGAAGAACAAATATCGTTAAAATGTCTATACCACCCAAAGCAATCTATATATTTAATGTAATTCCTATCAAAATAACAACAGCATTTTTCACAAAGCTAGAACAAACAATCCTAAAATTTGTATGGAACCACAAAAAACCCTGAAAAGCCAAAGCAAACCTGAAAAAGAAAAGCAAGGCTAGAGGCATCACAATTCCGTACTTCAAGTTATATTACAAAGCTGTAGTAATCAAGACAGTATGGTACTGGCACAAAAACAGACACATAGATCAATGGAACAGAATAGAAAACCCAGAAATGAACCCACAACAATATGGGCAAATCTTCAACAAGGAAAGAATATCCACTACTTTCTTGACTTGAAAGAGATCATCTTTTTCTTGGTTTGCCTCCTGCTTCACTGGCTGTTCCTTCTCCATTTCCTTTGCTGGTTCTCCCACATCTCCCTGACTCTTAAAGTTTGGAATGCCCATGGCTTACCTCCCAGACCTCTGTTTTTCTCTCTTACTTTCACTCTCCCTGGTGAACTTACCCAGTTTTGTGGCTTCAAATTGCCTTCTAAGTGTCAACGACTCCCAAATTTATATCTACAGCTCAAACCTTTCCCCTTATAACTCCAGACTTACATAACCAACTCTCTATATGCCAGGTCCACTTGAATGTTTAACATTAAATTTAGCATGACCAAAACCAAATTTCTGATTTTCCCCCAACCAGACCTGCTTCTATACTAGGCTTCTCCATCTCAGTAGTAACAACTGCAATTAGACAAGTATTTAATTACTGAGGCCAAAAGCTTTAGAATTATCCTCAACTTTTTTCCCTTCATATCTCACATTTAAAAAAGTCAGTAAAATTCTGTCAGCTCTTTGTTCCAATTAAATCTAGAATTTAGCCGTACTAGCTGCCTCACTATTCCTACATTACGAAAGCTCTTGCCTCAAGGCCTTAGCATTTACTGTTTGCCTTTCTTGAATGCTCTTCCCCAACTTGTCAACATGACTCACGCCCTTACTTCCTTCAGAGGCCTTTTCTGACCACCTGACATTTATGTTTACTTGTTTGGTTGTTTCCAACTAATTCCCCCTACTAAAATGTGAGTTTCTTGAGTCTAGGGGGTTTTGTTTTATATACCAGCCAATTCCCAGTGCTTAAAATTTAGCAGGCACCAAATAAATTTCTGTTGAATTAACAACAAAACTGATGAGTGCAGAGAGCCAGGTTACAACTCTGAGTAACCTATCTACTTTGTCCTAGTCCCTCATGTCTGGCTAGTCACCAATAGACTGATTGGCTCTGGCCTGAAAATTACACATTAAGAACCAAAAAGAGGCTGCATTTGTCTCTACCAAATTTCTGGTCCCCTGAAAGTCTTTCAAGAAAGTTAAGATTCAATGTAATGTAAAGAAATTGTTCCAATCAATGTCTCTGCTTGGGTAGGATAAAATCTTTTCTGGCATTCCTTCCAATTTCAACACTGCAAAGTAGAGAAACACAGATTAAAAACAATTTTCAGGATCCTTCTTTTCAAATTCTATCTTGACATAGAATCTTCTCGATTATCTATGCTTCTTTATTTTCCCATCCTTGCCCATACAGTTAAGTACTCTGGTATTCATACTGCCTAATTAACTCTGAAATTAAACTGCATGAAATTATAAAAGAAAATTTTACGAGGGTTCACATGCAAGCTAGATTATATAAACTAAATTTTAAACTACTGCTACTAAATTTCTGTATTCTTTTAAAAGGCCTTAATTTTCCATGAGTAATTGGAAAGCATCTTAAAGATCTCTGGTCAGGTTATGTATTAAGAGTCTCTCTAGGGGCCCCTGGGGGGCTCAGTAGGTTAAGCGTCTGCCTGCCTTCTGCTCAGGTCATGATCCCAGGAGTCCTGCTCAGCCGGGAGTCTGCTTCTCCCTCTCCCTCTGCCCCTCCCTGTTTCCTCTGTCTCTCTTAAATAAATAAATAAATAAATAAATAAATAAATAAATAAATAAATAAATAAAATCTTAAAAAAAAGACTCTAGCTACAGAGTTTTAAATTCTAAAAAGTATTCTTGATATTAAAGGTATTCTTAAAAGTCTTCAGAGTTATATTTTCACTAATGATTTTTACACATATTGTAGCATCATTAACTGAAAATGAGGTATACTCTGCCTCCATGAGAAGGAAGTGGCACCAGGTGAAGATAATGAATATAGACATATCATAATTGTTTGCATGTAAGAATCTTAAGTGTGAAATGCTTACACTTTGTAACTCTTACAAAAATGAAATTGTTAAAATCATGGTGCCAGGGCAAAAGCAATTTTATATTCCATCAGTTTTCACTGAATGTAAATTTCCATTTAGTGTTAAACTCAATAGTTGATACAAATTTATGATAACCTATATAGGCGGAAAATGTACATTTCATACCTAGTCATGAATGACATATCATATTCATATCTTGTCTAGGATGACAATTGTTGGTAAACCTTAATTTTTTTTTTTACCCACATAACTATTCGAAGCATTTTTTGAAGGGCTCAATCCGATCGTGCGAAATTCTAAGTCTTTGACTCCATAATCCTTAAATCAGTGGAATGCCATCTCCTTGGCAGTAGGTTTCAGATAAAGACTGGATAAAGAGCAACAAACGGACTTTACAGGTTGGCCTCAAGCTAAAAAAGGAAAGGAAAAGAAATGGAAGGAAAACAAAAAGAAAGAAAACGATTTCGCGTTACTGGTTGGGCTTCTCTTCCTGTAGCACCCCAAGTGCCTCCGATGCCCACAACACTTAATAGTTCCTTCTCTTCTAATTCCAGGACCAACTCGGTGGAGGCTTCAAGATCCTCCAGATTTCAAAACTGTGATACGAACCCCTATCCAACAGGCTAAAAAGTCCAAAGTACGGTGCAAGAAAAACTTGGGCAACACCGACGAAAACGCATTCCTATCTTTTGGGAAAGGAAGAGGCAAGAAAGCAACTAAAATAGTAAATGTAACCGGGAAGGTGAAAATTTAGGGGAGCCATGACTATTCTTTCCACATTCAGAGGGCAGGAAAGGAAAGGTGTAAAAGGTCTACCCATACTACTCTTCCTTCTTCCTCCAACACAGCTGGGTGGAAGGATCTCCCCGAGAATGGCAGAGGTAAGAGAAGGTATCACCACCCCAGGCTGGTGGCACCGTCCAACCTGTCACTGAGACCGGAACTTGAGAAGAGGAGCACGGCGGTGAGGAGCGGGGGCAGGGGGCCCCGCTTACCTGCTGCACGCCGAGGAACTGGTAGAAGTTGAGCTGCACCTCCTCCACCAAGTCAAATAACTCCAGGTCTCCGCTCTCCCAGCCGTGTGCCGGCCCTACGGCCGCCAGTAGCAGCAGCAACAGCAGTGGCCGCGGCGGCGGCGGCGGCGGCGGGAACGGCACTAGCCGACGCCAGCGGCGCCGAGGCAGACGGGCCAGCCGGGAGCAGGTAGCACTCATCGCGCTGGGCTCGGAAAGGTCACTCGCCACGCTGTGCCGTCGGCCGAGACCGGGGACGTGGCGGGCAGCGCGGGCTGTGGGGACAGTGCCTGTCAGTCAGAAGCACGGGGAGCCGCACCGGAGGCGCCCGCTCGGCGGCCCGCCCCAGCGGCAGGGCAAAGGCGGCAGGAGCCGGCGAACGCAGCGGCGGGTGGGCGGGCGGGGCCGCAGCCGGCTCTACCTTCCGCAGACCCTCACCCCCAGGCCTACAAACAGCTGTGAAGCCAGCGCGGGGCGCTGAGGTTGCAGAGGGGGAGAGGCTTCCCCTCGCCTCAGCCTATCCCAGGCCTCGCTTCCGGTGACATCACGTCTCCTAGCAACCGCGGGAGGGTGGGCGGGGCCGGAAGTAGGGGAGCCGGGCGCCCCAGATCCGGGCCTCGGAGAAATGCGTTTTATGTCGCTCGCGCCCACTGAGAAGCTGTACGTTTATTCTCACAGATTAAGGCACATGGAATCACGCGTGTACCTGGAGCATCCCAAGTATAAATTTCCCTGGAAACGTCTACCTTCTTACTCTCCTAGCCCCATATTGAAAACAAGAGCTTATCTTGAAACTGATTTGATTATGGCTTCTGTTACATACATTTCATTATACTGTCGGTCATCAAGATATAGGAGGAATTGAACCCACGGCCTGAAAGGGGGAATATCTAGTGAGTAGTCTAGAGTGTCCTTTATGACAGAGGTGAAGCAGAAATGGAATTCGGACCAACAAAAAATGTATACTTCTAAATAAGATTCATAGGCATAATACCATAAAATAGGCAGCTTGGTAGAATGAATAATGGTGACTCAATCATGGTCTTAAGGGAAGTGCAATTTATCCACCTTAGCCCATTTCCAATTGGGGTTCCTTTCCCAATTGAGATGTTTTTAAAAAGACATACAGGCTTACAACCTCCTTTCTCTTTCCCACTAATGTCTTACCTCCTAGTTTTACATTGCTTCTGTTCAGTATGTTTTAATTTTTTCCTCTACCACTATTGCTTCCTCTTGCATAAACTTTATTTTCTTCTCAGGCTTCTCACACTTCTCCTCCCTGACTCCTTACTCTTGTCGAGGAAGTAGAAGGGAACATATGCTTGTATAACTCAGGGTGCTCGCCCAGTTTTGAAAATTTTACATTATACTTTTCCCATCTTGGGAAGTTAAGTTAAGCTCAATAGGAGAAGGATAAAATATTTTCACTCTTATAGTAAGTATATTTTATATTTGATAAAGGTAGAAAAACAGTATCTAGGAAGAATCTTAAGAAATCCTTTTGTTATTATAGAACTTAAAAATATTTTTAGTCATAAATGAATGCAAGAATACCTTGCTATAAAATGTATATGCTTGAATTCATCATATTTTAATTTGATCCTGAGGCTTACCTTTCAAAGATATAAGAGCAAGGGTGTCTTTATCTGCTAGGGCTGCTACAACAAAATACTATAGACTGGGTAGCTTAAACAACAGACATGTATTTCCCACAGTGCTGAAGGCTGGGAAGTCTGAAACGTGAGTGCCAGCATGGTAGGGTTCTGGTGAGAGCCCTCTTCCTGGTTGCAGACAGCTGCAACAGACTAGCTTCTTCTAGTACCCTTACAAGGCAGGACTGGGGGAAGGGAGGAGGAGAGGGAGAAAGGGAGGGAGAGGGAGAAAGAGAGAGAAAGTGAGAGAGGTCTATGAAGATCTGTGTTTCCTTTTATAAGGGCACTAATCGCTCCACCATGATGACCTCATCTAAACTTAATTATCTCCCAAAGGCCCCATCTCCCAATACCATCACATTGGGGGTTAGGGCTTCAACACATGAATTATGGGGAAATACATTTAGTCCATAGCAAGGGGTATCACCTTTTCTGTGCATCCCCAGTACAAAGCACAATGCCCAGCACATGCTAGCATTCAATTAGTGAACCCTACACTGTGAAAATCCTCCACCATTTCTCCCAGTACAATTTTTTTAGCTTGCTTTTTGGCATGTCATTTTTCTTAAGGTGAAAGGCATCTTCCCCAAATATCTCATTTAACTTAGTGTTTATTCAATGAGTAAAACATTTAAGTAAGATGAAAGTAATCTTTTTTTTATTATGTTATGTTAATCACCATACATAACATCATTAGTTTTTGATGTAGTGTTCCATGATTCATTGTTTGCGTATAACACCCAGTGCTCCACGCAGAATGTGCCCTCCTTAATACCCATCACCAGGCTAGCCCTTCCCCCACCCCCTCCCCTCTAGAACCCTCAGTTTGTTCTTCAGAGTCCATCGTCTCTCATGGTTCGTCTCCCCCTCTGAAATCCCCCCCCTTCATTTTTCCCTTCCTGCTATCTTCTTCTTCTTCTTCTTTTTTTTTTTTAACATATAATGTATTATTTGTTTCAGGTACAGGTCTGTGATTCAACAGTCTTACACAATTCACAGCGCTCACCATAGCACATACCCTCCCCAATGTCTATCACACAGCCACCCCATCCCTCCCACCCCCCACCACTCCAGCAACCCTGAGTTTGTTTCCTGAGATTAAGAATTCCTCATTTCAGTGAGGTCATATGATACATGTCTTTCTCTGACTGACTTATTTCACTCAGCAGAACACCCTCCAGTTTCATCCACGTCGTTGCAAATGGCAAGATCTCATTCCTTTTGATGGCTGCATAATATTCCATTGTATATATATACCACCTCTTCTTTATCCATTCATCTGTTAATGGACATCCTGGCTGTTTCCATAGTTTGGCTATTGTGGACATTGCTGCTATAAACATTGGGGTGCACGTACCCCTTCGGGTCCCTACCTTTGTATCTTTGGGGTAAATACCCAGTAGAGCAATTGCTGGGTCATATGGTAGTTCTATTTTCAACTTTTTGCAGAACCTCCATACTGTTTTCCAGAGTGGCTGCACCACCAGCTTGCATTCCCACCAAGTGAAGGCAGTAACTTTAAAAATTAAGCATTTGTAGGCTTAAATGTCTTAGGAAGACAGAAAATTCATGAGTTGAATGTTCAACATAAGGGGGTACATAAATAACCATAACTGTTTTCATATGGCATTCATACAAGTGAGTGGGGTGCATATTAGTTCATATACAAATAATTTTTAAAAATTTCATTAGTTTGTAGGTTCTGGTGTTGACAAGGTTCAAGATGTGACCATGATAGTGTGTGGCTAAGCTGTCTTGTGTGTGTGTGTGTGTGTGTGTGTGTGTGTGTGTGTCTGTGGCTAAGATGTCTTATAAGAATATGCCATTGGCAATGAGGAAAGCAGAGAGGATCTAGGTTGTTGGATGGGTCTTCCACATAGAAGGTATGTGATGATCTTGTTATAGATGAACTTGAACATCATAATGACCCCTACTTTCTGGGAGCAATTGTGAAAGAGCACTGGTAATTTCATAGACCAGTATGACTCAAAGAGGTTCAAAGAAGCCATCTGTAGGCACCTGAGTGACTCAGTCGGTTAAGTGTCTGCCTTTGGCTCAGGTCATGATCCCAGGGTCATGGAATCGAGCCCTGCATTGGGGTTTCTGCTCAGCAGGTACTTGTGCTCTCTCTCTCTCCATCAAATGAATAGATAAAATCTTAAAAAATAAAATAAAGAAGCCATCATTCCTCACTTTGGGTAAGATCAGACTTAACTATACCAACAGAATTGAATACAATACCTATTATAGTAAAAATCCAAACCTCTTTTAAAATTGCCATTTAGTGGTTAGGCCTATTCATCCTATGATTTAGAAATGTCTGGCTCTCATTAAATCCTGAAATTTTCTCTTTTGCTCCCTTGTAACTGTTTCTCAAATATAGGACCTGAAGTTCTAAGATATCATTGTTCTTTAATGGAACATTATCACTCAGTAATTTTATTTATCCAAACACCATTCACAAACTTATATTGAACTGACAAAATTTAGGAAAATATTATTTGGGGGAAGCACCCCTTTGGAAAGTAGTTTCTTCTTTATTGCAGTATTCAATTTTAATCATTTGTAAGGTCCTCATAAATACAGATTTTCTTCATGTTGTAAATAATAAATATATTTCTAACATGTTGACGCATGGTTTTCATTTCTCTGAATAATGTACTACTTACTTGAATAATGTCATAGTGTTTAAGAGCACAGATTCTAGAGCCAGACTGATTAAATTTGAATCCTGGCTCTACCACCCGGATCGCCTGTTGACTGAGCCCTATCCTTCAGCTTCTTCATCTGTAATAAAAAAGAATAATACTTCCAAAATCATGAGGTCCTTGTGGGAATTCAGTGAGATAGTGCCTGGTATATAGTAGTTACAATTTAAATGTTACTATTATTTTATGGGAAGTCTCCATCTACCATGTATTAAAGGTTCCAAAATAAATCTTATCTATTCTTAAATGTTTAAATGTTATCTTTAGGGGTGCCTGGGTGGCTCAGTTGGTTGAGTGTCTGACTCTTGGATTTGGCTGAGGCCGTGATCTCGGGGTTGTGAGATGGAGCCCTGCGTTGACCTCTGAGCTCACCACTGAGTCTGCTTGTCCCTCTTTGTCCCCCTCTGCCCCTCTCTTCACGCACACACTTTCTCTCTCAAATAAATAAATAAAATCTTTAAAAAAATGTTATCTTTAAGTCATTTGTCACTAAACTTAGGCAGTGATTGCCCACTTCACCAGAAATTTATCCAATCACTGGCTTGCCCAAGATGGTGGGAGACTGTCTTTACAAAATAATGACTGTTTCTCAAAGCCAGTTTAATTTTTTTGTTCCAACTCTATAAAACGTTATTCACGATTTTGGGGCTAAATCCGGCTTAAGGTTGTACAATAGATACCTAATTAAAAGCATGTGACCCTGTTGAACAAAAGGAAGGGGAAATATTCACATTCAATGATTTAGTCACTAAATAGTCACCGGTCATTGTCTTACCCTGAAGTAGCCTTGTATTTTCAGATAATGAGGTTTTCCACTTTACATAGACTTCAGCGTGTCACAACACAATCCCTGTTAAAATTTCTTTCTTCTCTCACCTTCTACAATTTGAAGATTATCACTGATTTTTTCAAAGGTTTCCAGTAACTCATTTGAATCACTTTTTATAATGTGAAAACGAGTTTTTCTCCTTTTTCCTTTAGCCAACCAAGGAGGAAATAAATTCTCTCCTACTGACTCCTCAATTCAGCCGCAGCACAGCCACATTGTATTTTCCTCATATACAAAGCCTCCAATTAGTGTGCAAAAGAAAATTTTAACAGACCCCTTCATCATCTACTCTTTCAGGCTGAACAGCCTGGTTTTGGCATTCTGCCACAGA